GAAGCCAAAGATGTCGGTGGGGCATGTTTCGGCTGGTTTGTGTGCTGGTTCATTTTTGGCCGGTGTATAGGGCGATATCCAGTGTGGCGCCAATGGGGATGATAACCATTCCGATTCTTCTCAATTGCATTCTTTTGCGACCCGGTTGGCGCTTTTGGTTGGAAATGCTGTGACTCCGTGTTCTGAAGCCCACTGATCTTTGGTTGCTCTGTTTTTTGGTGGTTTTTTGGGTTGTATCTTGTTGGGTTGTTTTGCTTTAGTTGTTGGTCTTGGATGTTTGCTTTGTAGGTGCCGTTGGGCTTGTGTTTATTTGTGATAAAATAAAAATAATAAATAAAAAAAATGGAAAGGTAGATCATCAATATGTCATAGTATTTGATGTTGATATTTTGAGACTCAACGTGAACTAGATAGCAACAAAAAAAGACTTGCCGGAAAAAAAAAAAAAAAAAAAATCGAAATTGACCCAAAACATTTGCTATTGTGAGTCTCGTAAACTTGTTCGGTTTGGAAAGTTGGGACCAATCCAAATTTGACCTAACTAAAATTTACCAGGCCAACCCATTGCAGCTATAAGAGCCCATTTGGTACAATAGAAATGAAAAGAAAAATATGGTATGGGAGGTTTGTATTTGGTATGAAATGTTGGAAGACAAAAAAATATAAAAAAATGGAAGGATTTGAAACGATTTAATAAGGCTTTATCATTTTAAAATTTGGAAGAAAAAGAAAGAAAATGTTAGCATTTTTAATAGAATTTTGTGAATACCATATTTGTCCATCTTTTATATATAAAAGGATGTGCCTTGTAGCCAAGGTGGTGGGCGGGCCTCACGGGTTAGTGTGAGTGTCAGTGTTCGAGCCATCCATACTACTAACTATTAACTCCTCCCCTTCGCCCTCTAACTACTAACCCCACTAACCATTGCCAGGTGAAAAAAAAAATAATAATAAAAAAAGAAGATCTTTTATATATATAAAAAAAATTATAAAAAGTGTATAAAATATAAATTCATTAAAAATAGTTTTGTTTCATTTCTTTCCCAAAATATGATAAGTAATTTTTTTTTTTTATTCATTAATCAATCAATAAGTAGTTAACATTATCTTCTCCTTTTGTTTCTTTTCTCTCCAAATTAATGTTGTTTAATTTTAAATAAAAAGATGGTAAACCATTGAATAGTCTAGAGAAAAATAAAATCTATTAGAATCTGTCTATATTCTAATAAATATTGAGAAAATAAAAATAAAAAAATTTACAATGATCTCTCATCGATTGTTACTAAACTTAATTTAAGATTACAAACTGAACAATTTCTTTATTATATTCAATGAATGGTTACATATATCTATATACATGAAGGGGTTGGTTAGAACTGGTCCAACGATATTCTATTATATATATATATATATATATATATATATATATATATATATATATTGTTTGAGTCTCTAAGAATTTTCCTAGAAGGGACAGATGAAAGAAAGTTATTGTACCACGTTGACTGTAATTTCCAAGTCCAACGACTGGGATTTTGCTCAAAAGTCATATATCCTGATAAATAAATCACGTGGTCAAATTAAGCCCTTCTCTAGTCAATTTATCAATCACTGGTCCGTTTACTAACTCTTTTACTTTCTTATTTTTATTTATTTTTAAAATAAAATCATAATTTTCATTTATGAATCTGAAATATAAAGTTAAAATATGTTACCATGCTTTAAATATTTCAAAACAAGAAATTAAAAAGCAAGTTCAATAATTGTAATTTTGATTTTGTTTTCTAAATTGACAATCAATGTTATATATATATATATATATATATATATATATATATATATATATATATATATATCATCATCCCTGCAAGACCCAGATCACTGAAATCAAAGGGCATTGCAAGATCCAGATCCCCTTTGACCAAATAAGCAATAGTGCAAATAAGTCTTAGAAGGTAGAGAAATTGATTCCTGATTTAGAAGGAACAGGGGAAGCATGTTATTACGACCGAAACTTTGTCATCTGGAAAGTGCATATAGAACTGGGGAGCTTACAAGTTCAAGATTCTGTTCATTTCTTTTTATCGGGAGTGTTTGTAGAGAGAGAAAAAGAGAGAGACAGAGGCATTCTAACATAAACCAAAGAAGATTTCGGATGTGGCGATGATGCCGGTGGTTGTCGACAATGGCGGTGGTTGTAGACGGCGAGGGTCTGCGTTTTAGGTTTTTTCTTTTTCTTTTTCTGTGACTGGTTGAAGTTGATTTGGGTATATTGTTGATGGCTTTTGATGTGTATGAGAGAGAAGAGAAATGGCTGTGGCAGTGGCTATGGTGGGAGGAGGTGGCAGTGGCTATGTTGGGAGGAGGTGGGTGGAGAAAATGAGTGATAAAGATGACAAGTTAGATTTTATTTTTTATTTTGGATAAATAGTGTTACAGGATAGAAAGTAATTTCTACAAACAGTGTACAAAATAAAGAAATTTCTTCACAAAATTAAAAAGTACTTTTTTAAAATTAAAAAGTGAAAGTATTTTATTAAACATGATTTTTATTTTTGATTCTCAATTTTAGAAATTGACAGCATAAATCAAGAATCATTCCTGTTAGTAAACAGGCCAAAATAATTGATTTTACTTGCACCCAGGGGACGGATCTACTATTTGTCCTCATTGTTTTTTATTTTATTTTAAATATTATATATTACTAATTATTTTATTTTTTGAATTATATATATCTATAAAATTTTAATATTATTTCTCTGAAATTACAAAAAAATAATAATAATTATAACTTAACAAAAAAATAATAATAAAGGGACATTTCTATAACAATTTTTTAGCCGGCCTTCATAACTCGCCATTTTGTTTTAATTTCCCTTTGATTCAACCAAGGGATGAGTGCATAGGTGAGATTACCACCTCTCATGAAACTAGCTTTCTATTAGTTTGACTTGGACAAAGTTTTGTTGGGGGACACAATCATATCAGGACAAACTTTTCAATTCCAATCTAATTCACATAAAATGGGAATAAGAATGGGAGCGAATTCGAGAATGTGAAAGCAGCAGAATTAAGTCATAAGCAGTGAGAATCTAAGCGAAAGCGCGCTTAGAGCGTCAAAAGCAACACCTGTCAAAAAGAATTGTGTGACTTAGACTCCAATAACACCACCATTTTTGTAAGGACTTGAACCCAGTGGTCCGAATTGCTAATTGGGTCCTTACCCGAACCCGAGGTTATCTAAAGGCATAAAAGTCATTCCCAATGTCGAGACACCATTAATATACCGTTCTAAGGTTTGTAGCATTACATGACATCATCAAATGGCACGGGTTTGGAAATGGAACACAAGGGAAGAAGAGATGCAAACTGCGCAACAGCTTGTACCGGTCGACCGAAGAGTTGTATCGGTCGTCCGAAATGGCTATACCGATAGTCCGAAATGGCTCAACCAGTCTGCCGAGTATGGCTCCCTCGCGAGTTTGGCTACTGGAATTCACCCAAAAAGATACCGGTCGTCCGATATCCGTTATCGGTCGACCAAAATAACCCTGGAAAATGTCTTCGATCATCTACAGAACTGCTACAAAACATATGGGAAGGTAACGGCCTCACTTGGGATATGTAAATTAGTAAACAAGTAATGGAAAAAATTAAAAAAGAAGTAGAGCATAAAAGTATTTTGTTTTTTTTTTTTTTTTTTTTTGTTTTTTTTTTTTTTTTTTTTGTTTGGGTAAGTCTATCTTTTTTCTTTTTTTTTTTAATTTTTTTAATTTTTAATTTTTATTTTTAATTTTTTTTTTATTTTATGTTGTGGTAATTTTAAAACAATAAGTATCTTATAATATCATTGTACTATGATAAAATGAAGTGTATTGATTTGGAGTCCAAGTAAAATAAATTAAATGTTTGTTATTCTTTTTCTCTTCTAGTTTATTTTTAAATACACACAAATAGAAGGGTAAATTATATTAATACTTGTTTTTGGCAACGTGATATTAAATTAATGATTGAATCTAATTCTAATATCAATTATAATATTTAATTTATATATTCATTTCTTCGTTCAATCTAAAATGAAACAAGTCTTCCTAGTAACAGCTGTTAGCACAGTCGATGCATACGGCAACGGCTAATGTCACTAAATGATATAGCTTGCACGGCTCAACAAGTCTTGTACATATGTTCTAGTCGGCATAGTATTTGATGTTGATATTTTGAGGCCCAACAATGATGAACTAGATAGCAGAGAAATTGGGCCAATTCATTTGCTATTGTGAGTCTCATAAACTTGTTCGGTTTGGAAAGTTGGGACCAATCCAAATTTGACCTAACTAAAATTCACCAGTCCGAACCATTGCCAGCTATAAGAACCCATTTGGTACAACAGAAATGCAAAAGAAAAATATGGTATGGGAGGTTTGTGTTTGAAATGTTGGACTACAAAAAAATTGGAAGGATTTGAAACGATTTAATTAGGCATGAATGCTTTTGTTATCCTTTCAAAAATTAAAAAAATGAAAGAAAGAAAGAAAATACTAGCATTTTTAATAGAATTTTGTTAATACTAAATTTGTCCATTTTTTATATATATATAAAATAAGTGTATGAATGTAAATTCATTAAAAATAGTTTTCTTTCATTTCTTTACCAAATTAAACATGACAACTATCATTTTCTTTATTTTCATTTATTAATCAACCAATAAGTAGTTAACATTATTTTCTCCTTTCTTTTCTTTCTCTCCTAACCAATGTTATTGGTTTTTTTCCTTTCCCCTCAACCAAACATAGCCTAAGAGTCCTTTAGTTCAGTTTTATACTAGTAGGAAACTAATAGGAATGTTGTTTAATTTGCAATAAAAAGATGGTAAGCCATTGAATAGTATAGAGAAAAATAAAATCTATCAGCAACTGTCTATATTCTAATAAATATAGTGAAAAAATAAATAAATAAATTTACAACAATGCTCTCATCAAATCGAATGTTACTAAACTTAATTTAAAATTACAAACCGAACAATTTCTTTATTGTATTCAATTAATGGTTACATCTATATACATAAAGACTTGTTTACAAGTAAAGTTAGTTATTATATCATCCCACAAAATTAGGGATTGATACAAATAAGAAAGTAAATCAGATTGTGAAGGAATCTTGGTGATAAATAAAAGATTCCTACTCGGTAATTATTTGAATTTCTTACCTAATACAAATAATTTATGTTCTTGAGGCTAAGATAAGTTGACACCGTTGAGAACACTATGCTAGGAAGAGTGCACCATTTTCTTGCTTTCTTTTTTCTTCCATGGAAACAATTTCGATAGTTGAGTTAGAAGCAGTTGTAGATGGGAGCTGATATTGATGGTGAGGTGAATCTCCGGTAGTAACATTAACAATCCTAGTAGAAGACACCCTTTTAACAAATTGCCGCGCACGCCAAATTTCAGAGCAGAAAAGGCAAGCTATACTAATACTCCCCGCTACAATGAAGATGCCGATAAAGTTATAGGCATCGAGGCTAGGTGTTTCTTCAGGGAGCCGTGAAATTTCAACTTCCGAAATTTGTTCTTTGCCGAAATATTTCTGCTCAAGCTCAGTTATTTTCCCTTCATCGGTGAGATTCATGATTGCCTTCGAAATTAAAGGAGCTAAGCAAGACTTCAAAGGGAATGCCTGTTTTAAGAATGAATAATAAACGAGAATCAAAAATGCGTTTACGTTGTTGCTTCATGATTAATAACGGTAAGGTTGCCCCACTCCCAAAACAAAATAATTAGATATATATATACACATATAACAAATTCACGTGTTAGAATGAGAGACTCACAAAGCCAAGTCCATTTGTTCTGATAATTGGTCCACTCACAGAGTATTGTGAACCATACTTCTGGAGGAAGAGCTTGATGTAAGGCAGCTCGTCATATATGGCAGCTACACCTCCATTGTCACTTCCTTTAGACAAGGCCTCCTGATAGTCATCGATAGTCGAATATGGAATGATACGAGACGCATCGAATTTGGTCTCATTTATCAGATAAGTTTTCACAAACGAACCTTCTTGGCATCCGACTTTGTAATCCCCTTTCTGATTGAAGAAGGGTCGTAGCTGATCTATTGTCAACATTGTGGTAAAGTTTGCTGTGTAACTCTGCATTATAATGAATGCCGTGTACAACCATACCACCAGCACAAGTTTTGACCACATGCTCACCACCATCCTTCCTGTTACGTGCCACCAAAACAACTATATATACTTTAAATTGCTGTGTTCAAATTTGACATTTTTGTAACAACGAGTTTCAAAATTGTACACTCATTTTAGATAATTGAAACAAACAAAACACGAGGATAGTGATCGAGGAAGTTACTTTCAGGAAGGACGAGCATTGAAACTGGATACCAAATCATCATGCCGAGTTGCTGAAGGAGTGAACCTGAAAAATCCGTGTTGATGACGTTTGAACGCATCTCCAGAGTTCCAATTAGAACTCCAACAAAAATGAAAGCCATGATAATCCCCAGCCAAAGATTCGGGCTTAAGGGCTTGAGGAAGATCCACATATTTTTTCGTGTACCGTGTTTAGTTGGTACAAGAATGTAAATACTTGAGTCTAAATATGACATCGTAAAATCAACCCATGATGCTCGATAGCCCTTTATGGTCATGTCCCCCACTATAGCCTCATACTGATGAAAAAAACAAAGAAGGAAAAACATCATATAGCTAACCATTTTGGGGAGTTTAAAGGGCTGATATATTCAAATAAAATCAATGGATCGATCCGAAATCAAAATATGGGCGGCTACTAATTTTAAAAAATTGAAACACATATATATACATCCTTAAGAATAAAAAAAGCTGAAAGGATATCAAACTGACCTGGGCAGGATTAGCTGGTACATCCTTCAGAAATTCATCATAATCTTCAGTATCAAATGTGGAAAACTGTGGCTCATTAACCTTGAAAGGTAACAATTCTAAGGCGGCACGGAACACATCTATGGAAAACCCAGTGACACATGGATTAAGGGCTCTAGTATTATCTTTACATACACTAACAAATTCGTTGAATCCCTTCTTCTTTGGAACCCATAGTTTCAATGTATTGGGTATGGAAGCTTGGCATTCTTGCTCACCAACTGGAGTGCTTGACACCTGAGATGTTCTTCTCTCTAGAGTCCCGCGTTCAATATTTGTATCTCCTTTGCCTATTAATGACATACAACAATAGAATGAATTAGATTTTTTTCCCGTGCTTGCCTTGATTAAGAAATAATTAAAGAACAGCACGAAATCTGATCTTTCTTTTCCCTGTTACTCATGCGCGGGAAGAACAATATGACCAAGGATTAATCTATGCTAAGTTAAAAGATATATATACACACACACACAAAGGAGGGAAAAAATGAGTTTTAAGTGAATTACCTGCATAAGCTGCATTTGCAACGCATTGGAAATGTAACCACAATATGATGAAGAAGAAGAAGAAGAGAAAGGAAGTAAGGCGGGCCATTCTGTCCATTTGCAACTCCTCCTCATGCCAATTGCAGGTTAAGTAATACAGAGGCGTCATTGACTTTACAAAAGACCGTTGGAGAAATGGTCTATGGTCTATGGTCTTTGGTCATGGAAAACGGCTGTACGCGTCAGCACACAATATAATGGAAGCCCAAAAATGTATCTATACGCTAATCATTAAAACCTAATTATATAGATGTCATATCAAGAAGCCATTAACAAAAAGTACAAATTTAAAAATTAATGTACTGAAAATTATAGGTACTTAAACACTGTCGTAGTAATATTATTATTAAAAAATAATAATAATAAATTCAATATTTGTCTAACTAAATTTATGTAAATAAAAAATAATGTCACAAGTCACCATAATATCATTACCTATTCACGAAAATAACTCAAAAACATTGAACTTTCAAATCTTTTAACAATGAAGACAAGTGGGCCAAGCCCCCTTAATCTGCAATCAGAAGTACTATTGCGACAAGTCATGCATTCAAGAAGTAGATTCCGATTTCCGTGTAAAAGAAGTAACAGTACAGTTGACAACAAAAGTTGAAGCATTATTGAGAGAGAAGTTTCATGAAAGAAACAGACGGAAGACTGAGAATAACACACGCCTACGCAAGACGACCTTTTCTTGCCCATTGGCTCATAAGTGAATTCATCTTGCTAAGATCATCTTCAATACAAAATGTTATTTTTGCATGTTAAATTTATAATTTGAGAGGAATTATTGTATTAAAATACTATATTTTAGCAATTATACTCCAATAATGCATTTGAAAGGAATTACAATATCAAAATACTAATTTGAGAGGAATTACAATATCAAAAAAAAATAATAATAATACATATCTTATATAAATACGGAGAAACTTTTTTATTTTATTTTATCTTATATAATACGTGTTCCAGAAGGAGTGCTTTTGTGTGTGTAAAAACACAACCCAAAAGTTTTAGCCCCTACGCCAACAAAAAATTAGGCCCGATGGTGGCAGTGAAGGGACTGGTAATTACAACCCAACAAAAGCAAAGAGCAATCCCTCATGTCCGGGTTTTGTCAGTGACCCAAACCTGAATATTTTCAGGTCGGGCAGGTTGCGAGGTTCAACCCTTGTTTTTCCACTCACTTTTCCCTGGTTTGAAATTTTTCGAGAAATATTTTATCATTTTCCTGTTTGAAATTATTTAGCATCACTTAATAAAACATACCTTTTATATGTATTACAATTGAAATCACATAAAAGCATAGGACACTGAATATTGAATGAGAAAGTAACAATTTATATATGACTAAAGAATTTTTGAATTAATACGCTAGGTCAACCACTAAATACATAATTAAGGAATATTTTAATTTGTCACCCAATTCTATTTATCAGGTTCTTGTTACTTATCCACCTGTTGGTAGACTTCGTTATCTTTCAAACTAAATAAATAAATAAAAAATACTACTGATCTTCATCAAAATCAATTGTAGAGAGTTCTTTAAAACATATATTTTCAAATTACAAAGGTAAGGTAACAAGAGAGCAGCCAAGCCTAAGTACAAGTAGCTAGCCTTTGTTCTGATTTAGATACTATGGACAAGCAGATGTTATTAGAAATTCTCGCGGATGATACAAATTACCACTGTTTAGGATGATGGGAATCTAAATCGAACCAAACCCTGTGTGCCTTATCCATTGGGTTAAACATGTTGGTATTTGAACCTAGGGATAAATTTTTTTGTCTGGTTAGGTATGATTCATATGCTCTACAACAATTTTGTCCTAAAACTCATTCTCTAATAACATGTGAAAAAATGCCAATGATGATAGTATTTTTAATAACAGAATCCAAATTGTTCATATATAGCATCTTCTTGGTACGTAACAACTTGAATAACAAAATCAGCAATGGTGGGTAAGGAAATGTACCAAGTGTATCAATACATATTTCTTATGATGAACCAAGAAAGCACTGTCTTAGCTTCTTTGTTTATGGTACCTCTGCAAAATAAACAATTGATGATTTAGAAGTTATTTGTTCAAAGGCTGCTGTTAATTAGAAATTCATTAATCATTTGGTATTTGAGAGTGCAACAATTATTCTACACGTTTTAAGGAAAGTTTTTCCTTACTAGATGCATTTCGGTTCAGTTATGATACAATAAGGCTGAAAAATTTTAGTGTCCCTTCCAACTTTTAGTTGATTTAATTAAGGAAACAGATTCAATGTTCAAAGATATCTCTTGAGTATATTCTTATAGTCTTGCTGTGAAACGATAAAAATTATTCTACAGGTTTTGAGGAAAGTTTTTAGTGAGATGTGAGATTTTGTGAATCTACTATTTTCTATCGCTTTAGTCCATCTCCACAATATCTATTACAGCCACAGGTATTACCAAATCCTAAAAATGGCTATCTCAGGACCCAATCCCAAGGACTATTTGCCTTACTTTATCAACTCTCTCCATCCTCCAAATTCATGAAGAGTAATTTTAAAGGCTTGGTCTAATGGTATAACCTCTCTATCCTCAAGAATGAGAGGAATTCAAGTCTCATTAATGAGAGGAATTCAAGTCTCATTGTTTTGGAATTTTCTTTACCCATTCAGACAAGGAGTCTCATAAATTGGGCCATTTTGTTATTCCCATCCAGATAAGGAGTCACAGAAATTGGGGTGGAAGTATTTTCCTTTCCATTCATTCGGATCTCATGGTGGGTAGGAGAAGGATATTGGAGGTGCAAAGGTTACTTACATCATCTCCATCCATCTCTATTTTTTAATGGATCTGATGTATCGGCTAAAGACATATTGGTGGTTCAGCAGAGTTGATCTTAATCTTGATTCTCCACCGGCTAATTCGTTTGGCCTAATGGTACAAGTTGACAGAAATGATTTCAACCATGCCATAGTCTTAGAAAAGAGTGTTGAATTAAGAAAGTGAAGTGGATGTGGATGTGGATGTGGATGAAGACCGGGATGGGTTGAAGACCGTACCCGCAAGTAAACCTTTCGTTCAGGCCTTGGAGAAAGTGATAGTAAACCAGGGTTACATGGATCAATGTATAATTTGTTTCGTCAAGTTTCGAGTTGGTTCTGAAGTCACTCGCATGCCCTGTGATTATGTCGACCATGAAGATTGCATTGTTCATTGGCTTGAGATCGGTAACTTTTGTCCGATTTGTCGCTTCAAGATGCCAACAGCTGAATAATTTGAATTAGAATTGGTTTTTTTTTTTTGCATCCATTGTAATGGCACTGTAAATGTAATGACATTTTTTATAACATATATAAATCGTTTTGTTTTTATCAATTCATGTAATATGTTGTTAATTTTTTGTTCTTGATTTACTATTCTGTCGTACAGCGTCGGTTCATTCTTAATTTATTCAGTAAAGAAACAAATTGGCATAGAAATATTAAGCTTTCTCTTAAAATTGTTTTCAAGAATAGAGAACGTGAATGGTAAAATTACAAAACAGTTTTTGAAACGAGCAGGGATGGCAAATTCTCCATCTTCGCCGGGGCCCGTCCCATCCCACCCCATTTATAGCGGGGATGGGAATGGGGGCAAATTGTGAATCTCCACCGGCGCCGGGGATAGGGTAAACCCGTCCCGCCCCGTCCCGTCCCACCTAGATTAAGTGTGAAGTTACTAATATACCTTTACATATAATAATTTATTACTAAATTAGATTTATTATATATATGAAAATAAGAAAAAAATGTGTTTTTTTTTAATAAAAAAAATTATGAGCCAGGGCAGGGCAGGGTAGGGATGGAGATTCTGGCAAAATTTTAAGCGGGAATGGGGATGGGGAATGGAATCCCCACCCCGTTGCCATCCTTAGAAATGAGGGATATAATATAAATAGGAGAGAGAAATATGAATATAATGAGTAATATATATATATATATATATATATATATATATATATATATATATAAAGTATTTATAGAATAAAATTAATTAAATAAGGTTATTATATATATTATATATAGAAATGAGAGAGAAAATGAATAAAGGATAGTTTGGTTATTATATATATTATATATTTAGAAATTAATTATTTAGAGAGGAGAGAATAACAAAATTTAAAAATTATTTTCATTTTTTCAAAAAATCCCCCTGTATTTTCAAAAGTGTGCAGAATACCCCCTGTGGGCATTTTGGGTAGAGCAAAAAGGTAGGTTTGGTATTAAAGACTGACTTTTGGTCACATGCACGGCACATGCCAATTTTCTTGGTCAGAAACCCTTATTTACAACTTTTTGAAACTAGAGGGGTCAAGTTTGAACAATAGGAATGTTATTTGCACATTTTTAAAAATAGAAGGGTGTTTTTTGCACTTACCCGGTGTAAAAACCCATAAATTAATTATAATGGGAATGAATGGGATGGGAAAATTTGAGAAAAATAATAATCATTCACTAGCTTGTGAAGTTAGAAATAAAAAAGTCATTTTCTTTTAGAATGGTGGGCAAACCTAGAAAAGGAGAGTGATCTCCAAAATACTAAACGGTCAATTAAATAGTAATTATTGTTGGTTACTATTTATCTTTTGTTAAGTATAAGGTCACCCTTAAAGCAATTGTTTTTAAATTTTGATCACGAAAATCTAATTCTCTTAAAAAAACAGTTTAAACTTGTTCTAGATGAGTACTTTTTGAAATTTGTATGAAACATATATCATTTTTTAGAGATTGTATATATTCAACACACTTAATATTAGAGAGAAAAACATTTTATAAAAGTAAAATTTTAGAATTAATACACCCATATCAACATATTATTTCTAGAATCCAACACACTTAATTTGTCATTTCAACATATTATTTCCAAAAATAATGTATATAGATTTCTATAAATATATCTAAATTTAAAGAGAGAAACAGAGTATATATAATTATATATAAGATTTGTAGAGTTTAGGGATTCAACACACTTAATATTAGAAAATTTATAAAAATGAAATGTTAAATTATCAACGGATTTCCTGCGATTATTTCTAGTATGGAATGAGTCAATCATCCACTTTGATATCTTATTGAACAAAAATGGTGATATTCTTCCTCCATTGATCAAGAATTTCGATTTTTGGGAAGTATCATGATCATCCAATAAGAAGCGTTTCCATTTTTTCAAATGAACGATTTGAAGACCTATTGATTCTAACAACTGATTGCAGAGTTGATCATTCGGACCTTTCAATTCATAGACGTAGATCTCGGACCTATGAATGGGGATATTCCCGAAACTCACAAAGAAAAAAGGAAGTGAGTTAGACAAAAAGAAAAGCAACTTGGACAAAAATTCAACACACTTAATTTGTCATTTTGACACATTATTTCTAAAATTTCAACGCAGCAAAGTTGTTATTCATTTATAATATTATTTTCTAACTATAAAGACATTCTTCTGAAGAGTTAAAATGGTTTGAGCTCTATAAAATTAAATATCCCAAAACAAATTAGTTACCATATCATACGACCCTCTAGAAACACGGAGATATTTTTAATAGTTCCGGCATATCTAATATATCTCAAGTACCTCGAGTTAACCAATCGCTGCTCAATGAACCAAATCATTTTTTCACACACATCTATCAAAACTAAAGGTTTTGAAGTAAACTAAATCTTTACCCATAGAGAATTTTCCTGGGGGGTAAAAAGTCCCGACGTCATCGTCATCGAAGGAATAAGATTGTATGTAAATCAGTGGTAAATTATGAGGTAATTTAAAAACCTAACACCACCATCCATCACCAAAGGAATAAGAAAAAAACTAGGCATTTACCAAATTACAACACAAACTAGCCGTTTCACATTAAATAAGACAAAAGTATCCCAACCATACTTTGAAGAGGAGCTTTACTAAATTTATTCTAAAATTACAACAATTTATGATCTTAAGGTTGACAATTTGGAATATATAGCTCAACCGTTGAGAACACCATGATAGGCAGAGTGCCCTTCTCCTCCACCTTCATCTTCTTGTTCTCCTCCACCTTCATCTTCTTGTTCTCCTTCTTCTCTCATATAAACAATTTCGACATTCTCATTAGAAGTTGTAGGTTGGAGCTCATTTTGATTGTCAATATTTGGCAGATCTTCCACAACATTAATTTTCTTGGTAGAAGACACTCTTTTAACAAACTGTCTCTGGATCTCAGAGCAGATAAAAGAAGCTATGCTAATAATCCCTGCGACAATAAAGATGCCTATAAAGTTATAGGCGTCAAGGCTCGGAGTTTCTTTAATGTCGAGGCAAGTAGTTTCTTTAGCAAGTCGTGAACTTTCAACTTCTGAAGTGTCTTTCCTTCCCAAATATTTGTGCTCAATCTCATCCATTTTTCCTCCGTCAGTGACACTCATGATAGCCCTCGAAGTTGGAGGGACTAGCGAAGAGTTCATCGGGAACGCCTGTTTTAAGAATGAATAATAAACAAGAATCAAATATACTTTTTCGTACTTACATCATAATTGTTGTTACAAAGAAACAAATTATTTTGATTATAATTAATAATTATGAATATTTTCTAGTTAACTATTACACTTGCACATAATACCTAAGTAATGTTGCTTGGCATGTTGCCTTTTAGTATCTCCTCTTATTTTAAAAGCAAAATGTATATGGAATTCAGTCTCTTCAAAAAGTATTGTAAAAAAGCCATGTCCAAACTTTCATGCAAGCAATGGAAAAATATATAATAAAACCGGTAGAAACTTTTCTCTCCACACAAGAAATGCACATACATATATACATATATATATAGAGAGAGAGCTAGAATGAGAGACTCACAAAGCCAAATCCATTTGTTCTGAGTTTTGGTCCATCCAGTACTGTGTATTCAGAACCATGCTCTCGGAGAAAGAGCTTGACGTAGGGCAGCTCGTCAAAAATGGCAGCAACACTTCCATTAGACAAGGCCTTGTGATATTCCTCAATGGTTGAATATGACCTGAGACGGGTGAAGTTCTGTTGTTTTAGATAATCTTCCACAAATGATTCAGATTGGAATCCAATACTGTAATTCCCCTTCTTATTGAAGAAGGGTCGTAGCTGATCTATTGTCAACATTGTGGTCAGGTTCGCCGTGTAACTCTGCAAAATTACATATGATGTATACAACCATACCACCAACACAAGTTTTGACCACCTGCTTATCACCATACTTCCTGTCACCATCAAATGCAACCATATATATATATATATATATTTAGTCTTCTACGCAATCAATTTAAAATTTAAAATAGAATTCAAAGTTTAGTAAGGATAGTGAAGAAATTACTTTCAGGGAGGACGAACATTGAAACTGGATACCAAATCATCATGCCAAGTTGTTGAAGGAGTGGACCCTCAAAATCTGTGTTGGTGACGTCTGAACGCATCTCTATAATTCCGATTAGAATTCCAAGAGAAATGGAAGCCATGAAAATTGCCAGCCAAAGTTCTCTGTTAAAGGGCTGGAGGAAAGTCCATATGTTTTTGCGGGTATCATGTTTAATAGGTACAAGAACATAAACACTAGAGTCCACATATGACATTGTAAAATCAACCCATGATGCCCGGTTAGCCATTATGGTCAAATCTCCCACTACAGCATCGAACTGTTGTGAACAAATCAAAAAACATAATCTAAGCATTTTGTGGATTCCCCAGCGTAAATAAGTGAAAATCTAAAAAGATACAAAGCAAAAATTCTAAGGTAATGTTAGATTAGAGTTATGTTACAAATCTTTTTAATCATTGTACAACTTGAATATTTACCGGTGTGAATTTACAATAACTTCTTATATTTTATGTCACGATCCGTCCGCTGTGTAGATATTATTTGCTTTGAATACTCCTTTTACTCATGATTTTAAAAACGCGTTTACATGGTTATGTGTCCACACATATAAATGTCAATAATATTTTCCCCAGATGAATTGGGACATCCCAATCACTTCCTCTTTAGACTCAGTGTCTTCACTGGCTTGACCCTCATGGGTTTGTGCAAACTCTCCCACTTTTGGAGGGATTGCCTTTGATGCTGTGACGGCTCGGATTTTTCTGAATTTTTTTTTTTTTTTTTTTTTGGGGTTGGTTTTTATTTTCTTAGTGCATCGTTTTGCATGCAGGGCATCGATTCTCGTCCACGTGGGTTTCGGTAGTCCTTTGGGACATTTCTTTGAGTTTAGAATTCTTATAAATGTATTTGGGTCCATTTTAGCATTTTTCCGGTGTTTGGGTCGATAGATCCCATGTGAGTCCTACGCCCGAATTTCTCATACTCGGGAATTTTCTAGGCTCATGTGCATTTAATAAATGTTGTTTGGAGTTCATGTGGGGGTTATAGGTGGAAAATTTCATATATATGAAATTATTGTATATAGCTTTTGCAGAAAGGGCTTTTTAGTCTTTTTGTTGGTCAAAATAGACCCCACCTTTGACCAAGCAAGTGGAGGGGGACAAAATACCACTTCACTTCTGCATCTTCACTTCCTTCATCAGCCGACACTTCCCCCATTCTATTTCTATATTTCTCTGTTTCTCTCTTTAAACCATAAACATCATCTTCAAGCTTAGATTCGGAGCATTTAGGGTGTGAATTGGACCTTGAGCTAAAAGAGAAAGTTGAAGAGCTCGACAAAAGTTATTTTTTGGTACCATTTTGGAGGCCACTTGTGAAGGATCCGAAAATTCAAGGAGCTTGGGCTTTGCATCTTTGAGGTAGGGGTTTGCTTAAATTGTGTAAGCCTAAGTTGTGTAATCTTAAGTTGTTGTAAAATATACCTTGATTTCCCCTTAAAGGCATTCTTAATATGGTGAAATTTGACTAGTTTGTGTTCTAGGGTTTCACACATGAACATCACTTGCTTGACCTTTGATTGAATTGAAACAAATACTCTTTTATATGTTGTTAAGCATGATGACTGTATTTCTAAGTATGCTAATTTAGAAGATTGTATATACTATGTCATTTATTGTATGTTGTATGTGGTTTATTTGAGCCAAATGGTTGTGCATGTGAGTTGTACCATGTTTAGCATGCCAATTGAATGATAAAATGCATGAATTAGACTATCTATTTCATTAAGGTTTAATGCATGTGGGTTTAATTTCCAATGTGAGCTTCCTTTAATGAACTACATGCAAAAGCATACTTATTGTTTCAACTTTGGTTATGTATTGATGATGGAATGTATGGTTGTCCCAAGCATGTTGCACTTCATCCTCATGACATTTTTCATAGCATGATGTGGGTGAGTAGAGTGGTGTGTGGTGATTGTGGAGAAATTAAATTTGTGAAGTTCATGGAGTAAAGGTTTTCTTAAACCCGGTATTCGGGAGGTACCCCTTTATCGGCGGTGCTAATTAGCTACTAGGGACAAAATGAGGTACCCGAAGTCCGGCTAGTTAATGATTTTAGTGTGGGTGCGTTTGGGGTTGGTTGTGTAAGTAGTGTGCGGTTGCATAATGCATTACATACATTTCATTATATAATCCTAAAGTTTACGTTTGAAGGTTAAAATGTGTTGGAGTTATACTTCAAATTGATTTTATTAATCTATATTTATGAAGACTTTAAGTATTTTACAAACGCTAAACTTAAAAGTTCTTCACCTGATACATTTAATCTACTTTAGTTAATATGTTATTTATGAACATAATATATGTTCATTAATACTAAGTTATTTACAGTCCCACTACTACTAGTATAAATAGTATGGCATATGAAGCCTATGAGGACACACACTCTCAATACAAGTAAGAAAGAAAAAGAGATTTTATAAAAGTGTTTTTTAAACTATTGAGTTTGAGTGTGTGAGTTTCATTTTTTCTATTGATCGGACGGAGATAAATACACAGGTTCATGAAGAAGAAGTGCAACCTTCATGAACATACAGTTTTCATAGCTGGGCTTAGTTGAATCCCGGAGATAGTGCTGCCATTTATCTTCCGTTGCACGTGGGAGAGGCTTCAACTATATTCAAGAAGCGATTACGCGCCTCTAAGCCTCGATACTCACCATTTTAATATATTGGTTCTAACAATTTGAAGATAGTTTTCTTTCCAATGGCTTCATCTTTGTTGCTGGCCAATGCTGTTTCTTCGGTTTTTCAACCGAATATCGAGGCTTTTGATGGTAAAAATTACCTTCGGTGGAAAGGAAAAATGGAATTTTTCCTTCGACAATTGAAAATTGCTTATGTCTTGACTGAGCCATGTCCAACTCCTCTAGGAGACAAAATGCCATCTGATCAAGTTAGTTTGATCAACGAAAAGATGTCAAGGTGGATTGAAGATGATTACTTTTGTCGTAATCATATCCTTAATGGTATGGTCAACACCTTTTATGATCAATACTCGAAAAAAATGTAAGACCGCCAAAGAGTTGTGGGACATTCTTAAATTAGTCTACACAACTGAGGAGGCCTGCACCAAAAAGTTCTTGGCTTCTAATTATGTGGGCTTCAAGATTGAAGTTGAAAGGTCAATCTTTGAGCAAGCACAAAAATTTCAACTCATAACAAACGATATTATTGCTACTGGAATGTCTCTTGACGAGAACTTCCATGTAGGGGTTATTATTACAAAACTCCCTCTATTTTGGAAAGGATTTTCGTAATAAACTCATGCACAAAAGGAAGATATTACTCTAGAACAATTAATACAACACATCTTCATTGAAGAAGAAACCAGAAATCGTGATGTCAAGCAAGATTCTAAAGAAACAACAGTAAAAGCTCATGTTGTTGAGGAAAGGTCTCACAATAAAAACGTCAAGAAGAATCACAAGAAGAATGATTTGAAAGCCAAGTCTTCTGAAAGCTTCAAAATACACTTCTGGTGCAAATGCGAAAGACAAAGGTTGTTTCTATTGTCATAAAATCGGTCATTTTGCTAAAGATTGTCGAAAACATAAGGTTGATCTCATGAACCAGAAAGATCCTAAGAAATACGCTAAGGAAGATCTAACTGCTGTAATCACTGAGGCTTTTGTTATTGGAACCTCAGTGGAGGGGTGGATTGATATTGAAGCAACTCGCCATATTGTAACGAATCTTAACTCCTTTAAAACCTACGAAATAGTGGGGGATGGAATGTCAATGGTTATGGGAAATTCTTCCTCTTCCAAGGTTGTAGGTAAAAGAAGCGTGGACTTAAAGTTTACCTCCGAAAAAGTGATTACTCTGAAAGATGTGCTACATGCTCCAGATATTCGCAAAAATTTGGTGTCCGGTGCCCTCCTCTCCAAGCATTAATTCAAGATGGTTTTCGAATCTGATAATTTCATTCTATCTAAGAATGGTGTGTTTATCGAGAAAGGCTATGTTACAAATGGTATGTTTAAACTTAATATTGAAAATGAAATATTTTCTACTTATATTACTGTGTCAATTGATTTATGGCATGGTAGATTAGGCCACGTGAATTTTAAGTCCATTAATCAAATGGTTAATGAGGGGTTAATCACAGCTTGTGATAAAACACATATGGATCAATGTGTGACTTGTAGCAAATGCAAAATTACTAAGAAAACCTTCAATTCGATAGAGAGGAAATCCATTCTATTAGAATTGATCCATACTGATGTATGTGAAATTGACTTTTTATCACGTGGAGGGCATTGCTACTTTATCACTTTTATTGATGATTGTTCTAGATATACCTATGTTTATACTTTACGATCTAAAGATGAAGTTGTAGACAAGTTCAAGGCATATAAAGTAGAAGCCAAAAAGCAGCTGAATTCAAGCATCAAAGTTATTCGATCAGATAGAGGAGGAGAATACATCAAGTCCAAGTTTCAACATCTATGTGAAGATAAAATAATCGAAAAATAACTAACAGCCTTTTATACTCCTTAACAAAATGGAGTAGCTTAAAGAAAGAACAAAACTTTGACAGAAATGGTGAACTCAATGCTTACCAGTTCGGGCTTACCTAAAAATATGTGGGTAGAAGCTTTGTTATCTGCTTGCCACATTCTCAACAGAGTCCCACATAAGAAAGTCAATATGACTCCATATGAAGTATGGAGAGGAAGAAAGCCGAATGTTAATTATTTTAGAGTCTGGGGTTGCTTAGCTCATGTTAGACTACCATATCAGCAAACATCGAAGATTGGTCATAAAGGCATTGATTGTGTATTTATTGGTTATTCAACAACCAGTAAAGCCTACCGATTTTAGAATTTGGAGTCTCCCTCGCCTTATACAATCATCGAGTCAGTTCATGCAAATTTCTTTAAGAATATTTTTTCGAAGAGAGAAGGCAAAAATGAACATGATATTCCTTCAGATTCTAATACAAGAAAGAGAAAATCCTATGATCCTTCAGAAGAAGTTGAACTAAGGAGGAGCTTCAGAATTGTTAAGCCAAAGTCCTTTGGACCAGACTTCTATACTCTTATGATCGAGAATGAGCCTGTAACTTATTCCAAGGCGATGTCCTCACATGATGCTCCGTTCTGGCGAGAAGCAATCGATGATGAAATGCATTTAATTATGTGATACTCCCGGATTTCCGGATGCGGGTTGGCCAGGCTCACGCCCGACTATCCGAGGATATCAAACAAATTAGCAATAAACGAACACAGAATACAATTAAGGAAACAGGAATAAATAAAAATTTGCTGAAAAGAAACTAGAATGATAAACCAAATACTGAAACCTCAGAATAAAATTAAATTAATAAAGAATTATTCTGATACATCCAAATTCTCCATTTCTAATACAACTTGGGAATCCCTCTGGTGGACCCCTAATAAAAATCATCACTGAGAAATGAACCACCGAAAAAGAATCCAATGCTAAACCATACAGGAACCGCCTACGTCGTCGGAAGAAAGAGAAGTCGTCTCTGCTCAGCACGAATAAGATCTAAGACCTAGAACCGTCCGTTACCTGAAAAATAATAGTGGGTCAGGCCTACGAACAAGTTCTATCCTAACTATAATCCAAACAGAGACTCGATACGCAGATACATCCTAGATGTCTCAACCATATCCATATAGTCCGTAAATAGATATATACATAATACCACACTACAGGACTCTCACTAGACTATGCTGAGGGTCTCAACCTGAATAGAAGGTAACATGCAAAAACGCACCTGAGTGGGCATGACTACCTAAGCCTAACAGGGTATACCTCAACTAACATAGCTAGCTATGCATCCTACTGCATATACGCTCCCTAACCGTCGACTATGAGACTCAAGCTCAGATCGCGGCACCATAATTATATATATAAAGTCCAATCCTATCCAACCATAAGAAATCTAGCTAGTAGATCAGCTTGTTCAGCCACACAGACTAACATAAATTAAGTGTATATACAACCTATCCAAATACAATGTTGAACCGGTCAACTATTCGTCGCCAAAACACAACATATAATTAGGATTTAAATATTTTAATTAAATCACTATCCTTCCTATTAACAGAAAATATAAACAACCATCCAATATGTCGTTCAACTATTTTAGTTGACAGGACATGAAACCATGTAGGATTTAACTGTTTTAGTTAATCCATTCTGTATGTATGAATGGGTTGGAATTAGCGTTTTGATCTAATCCGTTCCTCCATATGTCACCGTCCCATACCGGTACATACCATGCATATGATCCGTAAATGATGCATTAACGCAATCAGTACACCAAATAGAATCCACATAAATCCATGTAGCTGATAAAACAAAATTGGAACAGTTTATCAACTA